GGGGCGGGGGGGGGGGGGAGGGGCCGGCGGGCCGGGGCGGGGGTTGGGCTGGGGGGCCGGGGCGAGGCCGGGGCGGGGGCGTCGAAGGCCGGGAGGGCGGCGGAGGGAGGCACGCAGGCGGGCGGGCGAGCGCGGCCTCTCCGGCTCAAGCTCCGCAGGACCATCGTTTTCCTTTCTCTGCCAAGCACACCCTCACGCCTGGCTCAGGGTCCGTCCTTTCACCCACAAAGACCCGACCGGGCTGTGGGCCCCTCCCTCCCGGAACTCAGGTTTCCAGAAGGGAGGGATGGGATCGAGGGGAGGGGTGCGCTCTGGGGAGGGAGCCCCCTGCTGCCGGTGTAGACGCCGCGGGGTGGGCCGGCCCCTCCAGATCACCGGGACGTGGGTCCTGGCCTCCGTCTGCGCCCCAGCTCCAGGGCGAGCCGTGGAGGTGAAAGTTCCCGCCGAGCCGCTGAGCATGCCGGTGGGCAAGACTGCAGAGCTGAGCTGCAGCTACAGCACGTCGGTGGGAGACAGCTTCGCCCTGGAGTGGAGCTTCGTGCAGCCTGGGAAGCCCATCGCTGAGTCGCAGCCCGTGAGCTGAGAGCGATTGCGCCCCGTGGGGGTGGGGTTGGCCGCTGGGAGAGACAGGAACAAAGGGCCCCCCCAGGATGAGGGCGTGGGGTCGGGAGGGGGCGTGTGGGGATCAGCACGCTTGAATGAGAAGGTAAGTGGTCTCTTCCTAGATCTTTTCAGGGCTGCGGTCTGGCCACCCTGTATCATCCCTTTCTCTCCCATAGCCCCTATATCCAACTCCCCTGTGTCAGTGCAGTCCCAGTTTCAGTTAATAAACGCACTGACACTAAGGTGTTGTGATGGATAGTAGCATAATACGCTGCCCCTTCCAGGAATATTTGCATTAATTTTCCCCCCCACGTAGAACCGTGCTTAGCTGAAGGCAGTGAATCTAGTTCATTTAGCACTTGGAAGGAGGTGGTATTTGGGAACAGATAGACCTTCATGATTCCAGCTACAGAGTATCAGCCTCCCTGGCTGGTGTAGTAAGCAAGGAGCCTCTTATGACCACTTTCATGATGAAGGGGTGTAAAGTTGATGCCAGGCAGAAAAAGGCACATATGTGTGTCTTTGGCCTCTCACCAGATCCTGTACTACACCAACGGCCATCTGTATCCAACTGGCTCTAAGGCAAAGCGGGCCAGCCTGCTTCAGAACCCCCCCACAAGAGGGGTGGCCACCCTGAAACTGACTGATGTTCGCCCCTCAGATACTGGAACCTACCTCTGCCATGTTAACAACCCACCAGATTTCTACACCAACGGGCTGGGGCTAATCAACTTTACTGTGCTTGGTAAGACAGACTGGGGACCCACCAGCCACCCACATACCCTGAAAGTTTTCACTGGTCCTGCTAAAGCTCTCCATATCCTGATTTCCAGCCCAAGCACACACTGGGGACCCCAAAGGAAAACACAGCTTTCCCATGTCTTCTAATCTAGAAGGTCTTATGCCAACTCCACCCTCCACAGTGTCTCCTCCCTCAGGGCCTAGTAACAAATGGTCTGAGAGAGAAAGCCCTCCGTATATGGGGATCTGAGTCATGACCCCACCAGCTCCATCAGCAGGGGGAACCTCCCATTGGTAGCTCTCAGATTCTGTCCCTCCCAAGGTCCATGGCAGAGAAGGGAGTGGCCATTAAAGGAACAGGGCACTCTTGTTCACTGAGCACCAACTTTGTGTTCAGAGCTTCCATCTCAAACTTGAGCCTGCTCAGAGATGAGCAGCCAGAAGAAACTATTAAAGAGGCTGGGAATGTTTAGATGGAAAAGAAAAGACCTGGCATTTGCTGTACGACTGCTGTATTCAAGTATCTGAAGGGCTGTCATGTGCAGGAGAGATTTTAATTTCTCTTTGTGGGCCCAGAGGGCAGGAACTGGAAGCAATGGGTGGATATTATGTGAACACAGATTTTGGCTCAGCATGAGGAGGAATTTTCTAACAGTCACAATTTCCAGTAGTGGAAATCACTTCCTGGGGATTCAGTGGTGTATGAACAGAAGTGGACCACTATTTGGTATGGGTATTGAAGCAGGAAATCTAACACTTAATAGAGGTGGGGTCAGAAGATTGCTAAAGTACTTTCCGTGATTTTTTTCAGTACCCCCCAGTACCCCTTTATGTAGTCAGAGTGGGCAAACCACTGTAAGAGGCTCTGCTGCACTGAGGTGCAGCTCTTCCGAGGGAGCTCCCAAGCCAGTGTACAACTGGGTGCACCTCGGATCTTCTCCTACACCTTCTCCTGGCAGCATGGTTCAAGGTAAGGACCTGGGGCATTAGGAAGTGGGGACGTGAGACCTGGGCAAATCTGGTCTCTAAACCCCACACACTCATGTTACCAGTTCCATGGCTAGGGCTATGAGACTGCCACTATACCTTTCCTTTCCCAGTCTCTTCTTTGGCTTCCTGTACTATTCCCTCCTGTCTGTCTCCCTGCACAGTCTGATCCTGGGAGCATTTCTCAAGCTAAATGTACTCTTGATATACTGGAAGAGAGTGAAGAGGACTGAGGGGATATGGGGGCGGGGTGGGGAGGCATTCTGATGACCCCTGCTTGTTTGCTTTTAGGGGATTTCTTAAAGGTCATGAATCACTTCTAAACTAGAGAGGAAACTGAGGCAGAGTAGCATGGATTGGCTTGAATCATTTAGCCAGTTTCTTTGGAGGAAGCATATACCTAAGAGCCTTAGCTTCTCATCTTCCTCTTGCTGATTCCAGTTGCCCTGTTTCTCTCCCCATAGCCCCAGTTCCAGTAAGCCCCTTTATCAATCTAGAAGCCCCCACCCCTACCCCCAGATCACCTCCTGGTGTATGCTCTGCCTTCTAAAGCAAAAGTACGCAGTTTAGAAAAGCATTTGGGTTGGCTTAGAGCCACCCCAGATGCTGCAGTTTCTAGTAATCAAGCCTTTTACTCCCCAACCAGGAACCTGACATCAGCCAGTAAGCAACCCACGCCAGTTCCATAGCCATTTTTGAACCCTTCACATGTGTGCAGTTCCCCCACCCCTGAAAAGGTGGCTGTGTAGGGTGGAAAGAGCACAGAAGTTGCAGTGGCTTTGGAATTCCTCTGTGTCGCCTTGGACAAATTACAGTACTTTCTTTCTCTGAGCCAGTTTCCCCCCAGTAAAGTGAGATTAGTCCCTTCCTGACAGGATTGTTGTAAGGATTTAATGAAATGTGCTTTCTTCATAGTAGGTGCTCACTATGAGTTGAATGAGTGGTGGAACACTTCCTCTTTACCCTCTAGATGAGGTGTCTGGCCGGCTCATTCTCACCAATCTTTCCCTGACCTCCTCGGGCACCTACCGTTGTGTGGCCACCAACCAGATGGGCAGTGCATCCTGTGAGCTGACCCTCTCTGTGACCGGTAAGGAATGCTGGGCAGAGGCCAGGCTGGCAGGCTTGGTATGGGGAGACTGCATGAAGCTGTCTGAGGATGGGCCAGAGAAGGTCTGCAGCTCTGAGAGTCCTGTGTCTCCTTAGACCCTTCCAAAGGCCGAGTGGCCGGAGCTCTGATTGGGGTGCTCCTTGGTGTGCTATTGCTGTCGATTGCTGCATTCTGCCTGATCAGGTTCCAGAAAGAGAGGAGGAAAAAGCCCAAGGAGACATATGGGGGTAGTGACCTTCGGTGAGCAAGAGGGCTGGGGGATGGTACAGAGAGGGGGAAAGGGCTCTTGCATTAATAACGGGTGTCTTCTGCCTTCAAACTCTGATGTAGTTAGAAGTGCTTAGGGGTAGGGGTGATGGTCAGCCCTGGGATTTGGTGTTGGGGGCAGCAATATATCCTATGTATTTGTGTGTGTTCGCAACGGGTGTCTTCTGCCTTCAAACTCTGATGTAGTTAGAAGTGCTTAGGGGTAGGGGTGATGATCAGCCCTGGGATTTGGTGTTGGGGGCAGCAATATATCCTATGTATTTGTGTGTGTTCGCAAGGTATACAGGGTGGAGGGATCGGTTCCAAAGCTCGGACAGGGATGGCCCAGTTTGCAGGACTGCCTTGACTCTCCTCACACTTAAAAAAAAAAGTTTACTTTTCTGTTTTTAAGGCATTTTTATATACATTAACCACTTCGAAGTAGTGGTGAGAGGTGGATAACAAGGGTTGGATTCGTCCTGAGCACTCAGCTAACTTCTGTGTGGGGCAATCAGGAAAGGAGAAGTGAAAACTGCCTCTGTCACCCACTTTAGCTGCTAGTTGTGGGATCCAGAATTGGGATCAGAGCAATATTTCTCGAAGTGTGGTCCTCAGATTACCTGGACAGAACTTGTTAAAACATTCAGATTCAGGCCACTTCCTATCCCTCCTGGGGGGGGGGGGGGGGGGGGGGGGGGGAGGGGGGCGGTGATTAGGCCAGGAATCTTCATTTTAACCAAAGTTCCACAGATGATTCTCATGCACAGTAAAATCTAAAAGTACTGGAGTCAGAGGATGGCTGTCCTCTAAAGGATGCTTCTAGCCTCCACTAAGAATTTCCTATATCCATCAGGGAGGATGCCATTGCTCCTGGGATTTCTGAGCAAACTTCAGTGAGGGCCGATTCTAGCGATGGGCTCCTGGAGAGGCCCCTGTCTGCCAGCACTGTGACGACCACCAAGTCCAAGCTCCCTATGATTGTCTGACTTCACTCGATCCCCGAAGGCAGTGAGGGGAATATCAATAATAAGCCTTTGGGTACCATATTGTCTCCCTCTTCTTTCTGCCGGTATGGCGAACTCCTCCAGGTGGCCCAAAGAGTATTACCAGTAAGGAAAAGAATGGCTTGAAGCCCGAGAGATGATGCTGTAGGAAGTTTGCTTGGGTCTAAGGGGTAGGTTTCAACCTAGGTGCTCCTCCACCTCACTCCCGCCCCGCCGTCCCCCCGCTTTGTTTGGTTTGGTCACATGAGACTTGTTCAAGCTCCAAGCGGTGGCCTTGTGCATCCAAACTCCCTCCCCCTTGGCACCCTCTGAACACTTGGACATTCCTCTTTATTGTTCACATTCCAGCCCAGCAAGGTCACATGCACACACAAGAGATTAAAAACCTTCCAGCCACAGCCCCAGGAACCCGGAGGGAGGCGGTGCCAGCAGCGGCGGTGCCGCGAACACTCCTCCCACCGAGCCTCGCAGACGCTCGGCATTTGCATAAACAAGAGAACTGGAGAGGCTCCTCTCAGTGCGCTGGGGAACTGGGTGCGGGGGTGCCAGGCAAATGTGGGAGAGGGGCTTCCCTTCCGATCAGAGCAAGGGGCATCCCACACAGTAAAAACCCTCTTCCCTTCTCACCCCTATCCAAAGTCCTGGGGCTAGGCTGGGGCGGGAACGACGCAGGGCGCCCCTTTTAGCTGCGCACAGAACGAAAGGACTTGTTTTTTGGAAAGTGAGTGTACTTCGAGCGACGCTTAGGGCGCCCTCCGCAGTACGCGCGGGGACGCGCATCGAGGCGGCGGAGGCAGAGCTGCATGCTGGGTGCGGGGAGAGGTGGGCGAGAAGCAAAAGAAGGAAGATTTGGGAGCGCAGGGTTTGGGGCTAGGGTGGGAAGGAAAGGCGAATGGGGACCACACTAGACTGGAGAACTAACTAAAAGGGCACGGACTTAGCAACTCCACGATGGAGCCTGCCTGGGAGAGGGAGTCTCTGGGACGCAGGGAGGCTCCTGAAGCTGGCAAGTTGGTGGGAAGGAGAGGATCACAAACACGGCAGGGAAGTCTCGTCACTGCGAAAGGGACGCGGCATCCATCTCTCCTAGGGAACTGAGCAGAGAGAAGGGCTGAGAACCTGCCCTCTCCTGGTACTTCCTCTCTCCTCCCTTCTGCCTTTCAGAGCCCGGGTACCAGGGGGCGGGGCGGGGGGAAGTCACCCAGAATCCCCCTCCCCGAATCACTGAGCTGAAACGAGCCCCGCGGCAGGTACGTGTGAGCGCTGCGATGTGTTTATGGCTCTTGGCCAGGCTACTACAGCCAAATGGAGGTGACTGCGTATCTATGTCGGTCCACGTGCGTCCCCGTAGCAACCTCAGGCATCTCCAGGTATTGAGAAACCCGCAGGCGCAGGGAGCATTTTCCCCGTCTGGGAGGGGGTGAGGGAAGGGCTGGGGATTTGGTCCTTTCCACCCACTCAGGGCTCCCACCCCGCTTCGGGGTTGTATTCATTACCTTCGAAAATGCTCAGTTCTTCTTCGATACGTGGCGGGGCAGAAGGGAGGGTGGAGAGGGACAAACAGGTGAGCTCTGGGAACCGCAGCACCCGCAGCCTCATCCACCCAGCCACCCACCTCACGTCTCGGATTTCTAGTCCCCCACCCTTAGTCCCCTCCACACCCCTCTCCACCCACCCCCAGCCCGCCCTTAGTCTTCTCCTGCTCCTTGGGAGGAGGGCTGGGAAAGGAGAGCCCCCGGCCCGCCGCGCCGCGCCCGCCTCACCTGGCCTAGTCTCCGCTGGGGCCGC